CAGGCTTTAAGGTGACCCCGAACTCTGCTGCAATAGGCTGCTGGGGCTTCCCATGATGCAATGTTTCTTTTCATGTTTAATACACCACTCTGCGTTTAATCATTAGTTATTTCTCATCTCTGGCTCTCTGCCACGTGGGTGTATCTGTTTCCTGTGCACCTCCCTCACCCTGGTTCTGCTGCAGGGTGAGTCCCCTTTAACCTGTTGTGTATTATTGGTCTAAAGAACATCCTAAGGCAACACTTGTTAATTTGGTGCCATATAGATGCAGTTGAACTGAACTGAATTAGATGTGTCAGATCCAGCCTGTCTTATTCCTTCACGGGGGAGGAGTAAGAGAGACGCTGAGTGGAGATAATCCAGAGCCAGAGTGGAGGCCACTGGTAAAGTCTGTGTGTACCCTACTCTCTCTGCCTTAGACAATGTCATACCATAGCACATATAATATAATAACAGCCTCAACATCAGCATCTGGAACATGTAAGGCGGAGAGATAGTCTCGACACAAACACAACAGAAAACTGCTTTTAAGGGTTCGTGCGACACAAGTTTCAGTTTCAATCGCTTCCTAACACTGGAGTCGAATAATGTCGACATTTTCTGCACTTTTTTGCATATTTAACACATTTTAAAGTGTTTGTCAGTAAATCTTTTAAGCAAAGTGCACATTTTGAACTTCCTCCAAACGATCAGTGCTGCAGCGTGAAAGTTAAAAGGCTTCAAACTCCTTCATACAGCTTTAGCTTTAACAGTGAGCACACCATCGTTGGTGACAGGTATTATTATTATTATTATTATCAGTCTGCTTTGCAATATGTTCTTTGTCCTTCAGCCTGTAAAGAGCTGGACAGCGCTGAGGTAACACGCTGCTGGACGTGTAGACGCGTCAGTATTGTTTCACTCAGATTTCCTTCACCTGCTGTGAGAAGTTTCAATAAAATCGTTTGTTCTCAATGAAACTAAAAACCTTAAATATAGTAAACATATAGATATATTTAATCAAAGTGCATCAGAAACAAGCATTTCTTGACAAAACATTTTTTCTAATCTGGACTGAAATTATGAAAAAAAGCAAAGCATGTTTGCTGCCAAACAAACAGGTTATAATTCTGTTACGTCCCCGCCGCCGCCGCCGTCTTTCCTCAACAATCATCTACGCTGCACACACTGGTCACGAACACACCGACACTCGTCTTCGTTAAAGTTCACTCCTCTCCAAAGCAATAGGCACTAAATCATGTTCAGATTACTCAGACTTGGATATTGCACACATACTATAAACTTTACCAGACGTGATCGCAAAATACAGAACAACAGCTCATAAAGCAGGAGA